GGAGTTTCAGGCCTATATGCCTACTTATCTATCTGTTTTCATATCGTGGATTGCTTTTTGGATCGACACAAAGGTAACTCTATCACGTCACTCTCCATTAGACTATTTCTATATCTGTCTTCTTCCATAATTTCACAAAATCGCTACTAGAGTGATTCTAAAGTCTTATCTACAGCGTTTTTGTACATGCGATATTCATAAATATTTCAGGCATTACCAGCAAGGATTACTCTTGGTGTATCTTCGCTGATGGCCCTTACATTTCAGTTTGGTAATATTGTCAAGAATCTCCCCCGAGTCAGCTATGTAAAGGTGATTTACTACAACGTGTTCTGGCTCTCAGTCTACTACTATAAATCAGTATCATTCCCCGTTGAGAATTTAAGTGCTCGGAAGCAGCAATAATAGCAAAAAAAGATTCTGAATTGGAGAATCTTGACTACTTGTACAATTTAGTAAAACAGCTTATGTTCAATAGAGTAAAAGAACTTTGTTCGAATGCGATTACTACACCCCATTTTTGCTTCCGAAATACAAGCACATGGACTCATGGGATCAGAAAGGTTATCGAAAAAAGTTTGATGAGTAGTACTCCACAAATCATGCACAAAATTTGGTCCAGCGCAACATGGACAGTGGAAAAAAACATTCAAGTATCTCACCCTAACTGAGCAGCTGCTTCGATATACAGAAACCAAAGGTGATGTCCGTTGTAAAGTCGAAGTCCAACATTGCGGTGATGTGAGTTTGTTAGTCTTTACTCTCACGGTGGGTTTGAGAAAACTTTTGAACCAGCTGCAAAATCTTACTCTACTTGTTCGAGTCAGCTCAAAAAGTTAAGTGGCACTTCACAGCAAATCTACAACGCTCCTACGGTGTCGACAACATTTGCGCAAGGGGAGGAATGTGAAATGTGAGTGGCCAAGTGTTAACGCGCAAGTGTTGTAGGCACTGCAAGCGCACTAGTGAATGATTGACTACTGAATTGTAGTAACTACCCAGAAACTTTTTTCGGGAATTGAATTTTTAAAAAGTTTAACAAATT